ATATATAGTGTGTGTGTGTGTGTGTGTGTGATGTGTGTGTGCCGCGTACTCAGTTAAGTTGGTTGAACATCTGCTTGTCAACTGTAAGTCTCCTCTGGTCTGGGATTCAATTTCTCCCGAGTGTGAGAGTGTACTCGAATTATAAGCGCATGAGCGATGACATATATATCGCACTCGAATTAATTATATACTAATGCCATATGTCAAATGACCCAAATAATCATTTTAGCCCAAAGAAAAAGAGAAATATTGGCAATAACCAAAGAAGAAGAAATTCACTTGCAACAAGCTCACTCCACCCAAATTTTTTTTTTTAAATAAAACCACTACAAATTAACCAACTGTTTGATGAAATTCCTCAACGACCACAACCACTTCTCATTCTACACACACTTTCATAATTTCATTTCCCTCCATTTCTCCCTTCCTTTTCTTACACGAACCATCTCCAACGTCACCATAAGTACAGCATCCCCAAAGCTCCAACATCACCATCTTCTCTCCCAAAAACATGGCTTTCCCCTTTGCATTTTCAGCCATAGCCATTGCCCTCGCCATCATAGCTCCCACTGCCATTTCCGCTCAGACGAAGCTGGTCACCTTCGTGTTCGGCGACTCCCTCACCGACGTCGGCAACAACAACTTTCTCCCTCTTTCCTTGGCAAAGTCGAACTACCCGTGGTACGGAATCGACTACCTCCCACGGGTTCCAACCGGAAGGTTCACGAACGGCCGAACCATCGGTGACATTATATGTAATTCTCATTGATAAATCTCGTAAATTTATATCCTTTCTCTCATGCATCATATTGTGATTGTGTTGTGTTGTGCTGTGTTGTATGAATGAAGCTGCTAAGCTCGGCATTGAGCCGCCGCCGCCATACCTTTCATTGTCGTTGGACGACGACGAAATCCTTCATGGCGTGAATTATGCATCAGGAGGAGCTGGAATTCTCAATGAAACAGGAATATATTTTGTGAGTACAACAAAAAAAAAAAAAATCAAATTTGCAAGCACATCACTCAATTATCATGCATTTACAAAGCTAACTCCTAAACTTTGCATTTTGTACTTAAATCAGATAAAAAAAAAGTACTATCATTTTACTTTTAAAATGTGAAATTTATCTTTTTCATGTAGATGTTTGTGTTATATAAGTAAATATGGAGGAATTGAGGGGTATGTATATAAATTTTTACCACATAATAGAAAAAGTATTACATCAGTACGCACGCACGTAGAGTATCGTGCGAGCTAATGAAATCATGCCACGACACCCCGCGTGAAAGAGAAAAAAACGGCGCAGTAACACGAGGAATATTACCTTTTGTGTTATTCATGTGTTATTGTGTGTTATTCATGTGTTATTGTATCATGAGAATATTCCTGATGTTATAATAACACAATAACACATGAATAACACACAATAACACATGAATAATACGGGGGAGAATATTCACCCGTGTTACTGCGCCGTTTTTTTCTCTGTCAGGAATATTCCCCATGTTATTCAGGTGTTATTGTGTGTTATTCATGTGTTATTGTATCCTGAGAATATTCTTGGTGTTACAATAACACAATAACACATCAATAATACATGAATAACACGCAACAACACATGAATAACACACAATAACACATGAATAATACAACGGGAATATTCCCCATGTTACTGCGCCGTTTTTTTTCCCTGTCGCGCTGGGTATCGTGGCGTGATTTCATTGGCTACGCACGTTACTTCTACATGCGTAGTACTGAAGTAATATTTTTTCCATATAATAAGCATCAGAAGGTTGTTTTTATAATTGATTTTATTATGTGGGTGCAGGTTGAGAAACTATCATTTGATGATCAAATTACATGCTTTCAGAAGACGGCAGAAGCTATCAGGAAAAAAATTGGAAATGTGGCCTCCAAGAAGCTGCTGAATGAGGCTGTGTACTTCATTGGATTGGGTATTATTCTTTTCTTTTTCTATTTTTTTAATTAAATTATATATTTATTGGCTTAATTTTTGATTTATTTCAATTAAAATTTACTTATTTAATAATAATAATAATATTATTATTATTAAATTTTACTTTTGCAGGAAGCAACGACTATGTAAATAATTTTTTACAGCCATTCTTAGTAGATGCTCACATTTATACTTATGATCAGTTTCTCAGCCTTCTGATTTCTACATTGGATGGTCAATTAAAGGTTAGCATCTCATTAAAAATCAACTCATTTTTATAAATATGCCATTGAATTCTTATGTAATTACATATCTAATGCCTAAACTTCAATTTTTACATATATGTGCGACCTTATCTCTGCATGAAAAGGTATATTTTACATTTTTATTTTTAAAATAATCATATTTTTTATATGATACAGAAGATTTGGGTGGTATAAGCATAAAAAAAAAAGTTAAAATTGATGATTAAGGGCCCGTTTCGGGTAGCTTATTTGGTGCGGTGACTTTTTTAAAACACACCAAGTATGTTTGGGTAAACTGTGTGAAATGCTGAAAATAGTGTTTTTGAAATGCTGAAAACAGTGTTTTCACACTGCACCTATATAGGTGCGGGCGGTGATAACTTTTTGGATGTGGTCTGACTTTTCCAAAAAGAATAAAAATTTATAATAGTCATCACACATAGCATATCAGCAGATTATTCGATAAGCTGCAGCTGCCCCAAACAGACCCTAAGGGTGTGTTTGGGTCTGCTCCTGCTCATTCAGATAAGTTGCGTATCTGAAAACGTGGACTGCGCAGTTTGATCCCTGTTTCTCATTTCGTGTAAAAAAATCAACTGCATTTTCTGATAAGTTGCTCAAACACAATTTTCATGATTGTTTATTTATGTTGAGAAGAGGCTCTACTCGTTGGGAGCAAGGAGAGTGGTGTTTGATGGCTTGGGTCCCATGGGATGCATTCCATCACAGAGAATACATGCGCCTGATGGAGGATGCTTAGAGCTGCTGAACAAATGGGCACTTCATTTCAACACACGTGTGAAGAGTTTGCTCACGTACCACAACTATCAGCTGCCCGGCGCTCTGTTCTCCTTTTCTGATAATTACAACATCGTCCTGGATCTCATCCAGAACCCACAGAAATATGGTGAATTTTATAAATTTAGATTTACATTTTCTATTATTTTTTATTCTATCTAAATCTTACAATATATATATAGATGGTATATGTATATAAGAAATAAAATATAGGTGTTACTTGTTGGATATGCATGTACTTAAGATTTGTGATATAAGCTCCTGTCTAGGGGTGTAAACAAACAGAACAGGAACAAACAGAGCTTGTGTTTATGTTCGGTTCGTTTGAAATTTAGTTTGTTTGAAATAAACTCGTGTTCGAAATTGTTCGTCAAGTCATTGTTCGTGTTCATTTCTTAACGAACGAGTCGAACACGACCCGAACACGAGTTGTTCGCGAATGACGAGACAGTTTGACATCCCTAATATTAATATGTATAAATAATTTATTATATTAATTATATAATTTATATTATATAAATATGTAATATCTATATTAGTATATTACTAATATAGTATATTAATATATTATTATTATTAATTTATTAAATATTATAATTTATAAATTTAATTTTTTTAAAATATCATAAATTTTTATATATAATTATTTTAAATTATTTTATATTTCAAAAAATAACATTCGAACACGACCGAACGCATCAGTGTTAGTGTTTGGTTTGTTTAACTAACCGATCGAAAAAAATTTGTTCACGTTCATCTCGCTTACTTATGAACGAATCGAACACAAATTCCTTGACAAACAGAACACGACCTGTTCGCGAACAATGAGCTTTTTTTACAGCACTACTCGTGTCATAAAAAAACAAATAGTTATCAATTAATTAGGAATAATTACATAAAGACCATAAGAAACATTGATATTTATAAATTAATCACTCGTGTAATCTTTTACCGATATATTTTTTACACGTGTCATAATCAAATCATTGAGAATTTGATAAAAATGAGAAATAATTATTGGAGTTTTATGCGCAGGATTTAAGATCTCAACAACATCTTGCTGCAACGTGGACACGACCGTCGGAGGGCTTTGTCTGCCGAATTCAAAGCTCTGTGATAATCGCCATGAATATGTGTTCTGGGACGCATATCATCCAACCGATGCAGCCAATCAAGTCATTGCAGATCTTCTCTTTGCCAGTCCTTCCTTCAATCAGTCTTCTGCGTTATCTTTTCTTCAGCACTAGTTTGTCTCGGAGATGGCTGTCCAGCTTTGTGAGAGGAATATTTTGTTTTATATGGAGGAGGATTATATGCACAAGAGTTACATATATATTTATAGTATTTTGTCATTCAAATCGTATGATGTTGTTCTTTATGTGTTTAGAATTTTGGACATGTGAAACATGATTAGATTTATAAAAGTGTGATGCATATGTAGATTAGACATCAAATTTAGAGTTTTAATCGGATGTGAGAGTGGCCAGATGGTTGGACATTTTCTCCTGCACTGAATTAAGTCCTATACTCAAAGCTTACCGACCTCAGAATTGAGCTTTAAATGTATAATTTTGTTATTAAATTGTTGAGACTTCAGAATTGAACCTACAGTTGATTGACCTTTTTTTCTGAAAAGGAATGGTCGGAGGCTATTATACGAGCCCCGGTAGTCTCTCATGAGCCTAAAAATTCAAACACCATATCCTAGACTCGAGGGGATTCGAACCCCAGACCAGAAAAGACTTACAACTGACAAACAGATGCCCGACCAACCGATCTGAGTAAGCGGCACAACAGTTGACTGACCATAATGCAACCAATTCCCACGAATTTACCCAACACCTAAACTTTACTTTTTTTACAATTATATCCCCCAAAATATTTCATAACACAACATGTGAATTACATGTTTTCATGCATATGCAAGGTGGCATAAACATGAAATTCAAAGTGAATAAGTTAAAGATGTAAATACATAGGAATTGAGTGGCATGAACATAAACCTTTCATAATTTAATAAACCAAGTTATAAAATGAAGAAACTCTTACATTTAATAACAAAGATGTTCTAAAAACTAAAAATGACAAACTTTCAACATGTTTTTGCAAATTTGGACTAGAGAATAAAAGGCAGAAGAAGGAAAGGCTGCACTACATTAAAGCCAATATGGCCACAGAAACTAATCCTCCAGCCAAAATTGGAAGACCCACTCTCACTGCGCTATTTTCATTGCTAGAACTGCTTGGAGATGAGCCTGAAAAAACAAAAATAAATAAATAAATAAATAAATAAATAATTAAGTTTAAAATTATTTATTTTTACTATTATCATAATTGCACAAAATATTTTTAATTCTTCATTATGTAACCTTAAAAAATGACAAATATGACCCTATAAATTAAAATAAAATAATTTAATTTACTGTTTGAAGGAGGTGAAGGTTTTGCTGGTGTTGCAGCAGAGGATTCGGGTCCATCTGTAAATAAACAGAAAATTAAAAATTATAAAACTATCCAAAAAATAACATATTTTAAGCAAAACATAGAAAATAAGAAAACATATATTTTAATGTGGAGAAATTTGCAATTTTGAAGATGATATATGTAAATAACTAGAAAGAATTATAGGCATTTACATACCTTGTGAAGTAGGCGAAGAGTTCGGTGGCGTTGCACGCCATGGTGCGGGTACATCTGCATGGACAAATTTAAAAATTACAAAAATAATTTAATATATATATATATATATATAATTTGAAGTTTTGGTGTTTTGCAACATAATTTAAAGAACATTTACTCATTAATTTAGCATAAAAATATTAAATCTACCGTATTTTTCGCCTTTCCTTCTCATACTCTTGACTTTTTTACGATGTAAATCTAAATTTAATAAAAAGATAGTGAAATCCTTCTTATCATCGTGCGCCAATCCATCTCTTTCGATCAAATTTTAAATTTGAGCTAAAGAAAGAAGATGAAGAAAAACATACCTCCGCTGCCGCCGCCGCCATTGCAACTGTCGAAATCCGGTACATAACCACCGCAGCTTCGTGGAATCATCAGCGCTTCGTCCCGCGTTAGATTGAGAGCCATCAAAATAGGTTCGCTGTAGAAGACGGCGCAGAGACATGCGGCCTCCTTCTGTATTGCGCTCAGCAGTGGCAAACAGCAATGCGACGGCGGCGGCTCCAGTTCGTGCACGTACGGATGGCAAGGCAGCAGCTCCTTCACGCAGGGCAAATAAGCCAAGTCTTCATCTCCGGCGATCGCCGGAGAGAAAGAAGAGGGAGCGAGAGAGATGATGAGGAGAATTGGGAAGAAGTGAATGGAAGCCATGGCTGTTGCTCTAGTGGAGGGAAACGGTTTTGAACGCGCGAAATTAGTTAACGGTACATTTTCTTTATTCAATTGGACGAATATAGCCATGAAAAGGTTTGGCGGAATTACAAACGGCGGGGGAAGTGGGAGGGTGTTTTGGTAAAAAGGATGTGGGTTAGGACGTGGGTGGTTATTAATTGAATAAATTTTGAACTATTATTAAGATTAGAAAGAGAATTATGATGATAATTGGTAGAAATATATATATCTTGATACACTCAAAAAATAAAAATATATCTAAAGTTTTTATGAAGTGTGCTCATAGGACCAAAAAGGAGAGCATGCAATTAATTACAAATATTAAGTCATAGTTTGGTCAATTTAATTAATTAGTGTTTAAGATATTAAGGTTAAAACTAATGAATGTATCATTTAGCCAAAGGAGTTTTGAAGGAAATAATTATCATTAATAAAAATAATAATTATATAAGGAAGTCATAACAAGGGGACTAAATAAGATAGTAGATAGAGAGGGCTAAGGTCTAGTCGTATGACATTTCTCATTCAGATGCATTATATAACATAAGGAATTTGGAGAGATCTCTAGTGTAACAAGTGCACTTAAGAAAAAAAAATTTGCACTCGAATTAATATAATTAAGGAGTTGTAAAAGGTATTCTTTCGATCCTTACACACCCACCACTAAACTATAATTGAAGTTAAGGCGAGTAGACTTGAACTTTTATCTTGGCACTACTAATATATTTTATAATATTGACAATAAAAATGCCTTATATTTGTTTAGGGTTTAGAATCTTAATTAGTGCCTAAGATATTAAGGTTAAAACTAATGAATGTATCATTTAGCCAAAGGAGTTTTGAAGGAAATAATTATCATTAATAAAAATAATAATTATATAAGGAAGTCATAACAAGGAGACTAAAATAAGATAGTAGATAGAGAGGGCTAAGGTCTAGTCGTATGACATTTCTCATTCAGATGCATTATATAACATAAGGAATTTGGAGAGATCTCTAGTGTAACAAGTGCACTTAAGAAAAAAAAATTTGCACTCGAATTAATATAATTAAGGAGTTGTAAAAGCTATTCTTTCGATCCTTACACACCCACCACTAAACTATAATTGAAGTTTAGGCGAGTAGACTTGAACTTTTATCTTGGCACTATTAATATATTTTATAATATTGGCAATAAAAATGCCTTATATTTGTTGTGCCTATCAAATCTTAGAAAATATGCCCACCATATCAAGTCATAAGATCCATTTAATTGGCAACCAAAATCCACTTCTAAGAAAGGTGCTTAATATAATAGTTAATATTAATGTTAACTTCTAACCAATGATAGAAATTCTACTCAAGCTTCAACTTTACTAACTATTATTTTTATTTCCTTAGAAGCTATTAAATTATTGCAAGAGATGATATTTATCAGTCATTTTATGAGGATAGATTTTATGTTTGTTGTTTTAATAACATCACAAACAAAATGCGTACAAAATTTCAGATATATATTTTTTTTTCAGCTTGCGAGCAACAACTAGGGCGGTAAATGAGCTTGGGCTTGGCTTGTGCTCGAATCGATTGAAATTGCTCGTGTTCGAAATTAGCTCGTGTTTGAAATTGGCTCGTGAATAGTGTGTTTGTATTTGTCTCGATTTAAATATTTTGTTTTTGTTTGGCCCGTTAAAACTTATTGAAAAACATAGAGGGTGCTGGATTGGAACATAGACCAAATATATGTAAAAAAAAAAAAAACACACATAAGCAAATTACCACATGAGTTATTATGATTTAAACTTCGATATAAATATATATAATAATAATTATATAAATAATATATATAATATATTATTATATAAATAATTAATTTCAAACTAAAACGAGCCGAAAGCGAGTGAACAAAGAGCTGTTTGTGTTTAGCTCGTTCATAATTTGAGCTTAAAAATTTGCTCGTGTTCGGTTTGTTTACTTAACGAACGAGCCGAACACGAGCTATTCATGAACAACGAGCTTTTTTGACAGCCCAGCAACAACCAGTGAGATAGAAAATTTTTTTAGAAAAAAAAGCATTTACATGCATGATGCATACCACACAATTCTTACATATTTACATATTTTCATTTATATACTTAACAATTAAATTTTTAATATCATATAAAAAATACCACTATTATAATATTTGTCAAAGAGAGAACAACATATTTTCATGCATAATGACACCAAAATATTATAAATATAAATAATAAAATTTAAGTGCTGCTTATGATATATGAAATATTTGAATTTTATAAATGTAAAGATTAAAGTTTAGGTGTTATTTATGTAAATATATGAGAATTGTGTGGTATGTATATAAATGCCCCCAAAAATAAATATTAGAACATATTTTAATTTAATGTTGATCCCATCTAATTTATTCATTTATTTTTAACATTTACACGGTGCAGCTCCCGTGCCAGACTTTCCTCAAGTGATTTACTTTCCTCAAGTGATGTTCTCCATTCTCGATCAACGTCATCTGAAAAATCAATCGAACCGTCTGCCCAACGGAAGAACTTGCACTGTTCGCCGATGCTCCGTGAGTAGGTATAGAACTTCCTCCCGTAGCTGTGTACCTGACGCGACGTCAGCAGTGAGGGTTGGATGCCACAGTAACAGAGTGTTCGTCGCGATGTCCCGAAAATTCGTGAGCTCATCTTCTCCTAAATGCAACAAAAAATTTTCAATAATTCAAGGAAGCTACTCTAGTTCAGAAACAATTAGGAATGAAAGAAAGCTCAAGCTCTTGGTAATTAGTTCCCAACCACATAGACGTTTGGCAGTACAGTTTAGGAGTTAGATACGTAAATACATAGGAATTAGGCAGTATGCATGTAAATGCCCCTAAAAACCAATACAAACTTATGTCTACTCAATTAGCTAAAATCAACCTATTTTGCTATATAAACATCTTAATAACAACAAAAATAAACAATACATGCATGCCACACCAAGCAAATTGAGTACAGGGAGAAAAGTGTGCAATTAATGTCATATCTCAATGCACACTGTCAAGACTAGGGCTGTCAAAACGGTTCGTTGTTCGCGAACAGCTCGTGTTCGGCTCGTTAAGAAGCTCGTGTTCGGCTCGTTAATTTTGTTCGATAAGTTAACGAGCCGAACACGAACTAAGATGTGTTCGTTCGTGTTCGGCTCGTTTTGGCTCGAAATACTACTCATCAAGTTTATATATATATTAAGTAGTATTTTAAAAAAATCTAATTGACTACAAGGCTACAAAGATTTATAATCAATTAAAATATTGATAAAGAAAATATAAAAAAAATCATTAAATTAGATTCAAATGATGTTTTAATATAAATAATAATTTTTAAAACTTGCTCAAAACCTTATTGTCTTATGTCTTATGGCTAAATGATTAGGGTTGTTAAAATGACTCTTTGTTCATGAACAGCTCGCGTTCGGCTTGTTAAGCAAACGAGCCGAACACGAGCGAGCTCGTTTACACCCCTAGTCAAGACCCAAAAAAATAGGGGCATTTACATATATACCACCCAATTCCTATTGAGGTTCTGGATGAGCTGCTGGAACTGCTGCACCCCAGATTAACAATAATGACGAAGTCCAGCCCAACCAACGCAAAGATTAAGAATAATTTGAAGATATAATAACAGAAGCTCCCCATTTTTCTTAGAATAAACTTCATAATAATTTCCTCACATGGAAATATGTCAGCATTAAGCAATCTTCCCCTGCAATAAAGTTCAATTACTTACATACGATCCATATACAACATCCCAGTTCTCAGCCCCTTCCATTTTGCTTTCTCGGTATGTTATTTAAGCAAAGGTATGTATTTGGCATTTGCAGGAAATAACACATTAAAGAAAATAACTATGTACTGAAAGAATAACAAAATTGTAAAATCCAAACAGACTATAAAAGATCTTAAAATCTAAAAAAAAAAGAATTAATTATTCAATAACAAAAACTTACGATAGCAAAGTTCTGCAAACACCCCATAGATACATAAGAACTGCAAGACCATAAAAACTACAAAACCAGAGTTCTGAAAAAGCATATTTCTATAGGTGAGGCAGTACCATGAGAACAGAAGCTGATAGGTAGAAGGCGCACCAAAGTTATGGACAACAGAGAAGTGACACTGCATGATAATATTTAACGATATAGATCAATTACATGGCTGGGAGTTTTGACATGGCTTCCATGGATCAAACCACTATAAGGGGATTAGTTGCTATCATTGTCTACATTTTAGCACAAAATAGCTCATCAAGAGACAAACAAAAACTCAAATCAAGCGTACAAAGAAGAAAACTCACACCTTCCTAATGAAATTTTAGATGAAATTGTTCATATGCTGAAACATTCTCCTTAACAAGTTTGACATGTATCATGCTTCTAGAGGATGACACCAAATTTTTACAACTTTTTGAAATTTTCACTTTCACAAGTTTCACATGTTCCATAGAAAAAAAAGTTTCTCACGTGTTTTTCATCTTCATTTTTACAACTTTTTGAAACATTCTCCTTAACAAGTTTGACATGTATCATGCTTCTAGAGGATGACACCAAATTTTTACAACTTTTTGAAATTTTCACTTTCACAAGTTTCACATGTTCCATAGAAAAAAAAGTTTCTCACGTGTTTTTCATCTTCATTTTTACAACTTTTTGAAACATTCTCCTTAACAAGTTTGACATGTATCATGCTTCTAGAGGATGACACCAAATTTTTACAACTTTTTGAAATTTTCACTTTCACAAGTTTCACATGTTCCATAGAAAAAAAAGTTTCTCACGTGTTTTTCATCTTCATTTTTACAACTTTTTGAAACATTCTCCTTAACAAGTTTGACATGTATCATGCTTCTAGAGGATGACACCAAATTTTTACAACTTTTTGAAATTTTCACTTTCACAAGTTTCACATGTTCCATAGAAAAAAAAGTTTCTCACGTGTTTTTCATCTTCATTTTTACAACT